GAGCAGCCTCCCTCCCCAGGACCCGGACGCCCTCTGCTCCCAGCGCCTCTCTCCTTGGCCCAGGCCTGGTCCACCGCCTCTGCTCCCGGGGCCCTCAGACAGACAGGAGCAACGAGACCGCCTGCGTGCCCACCCACCGGACAGCCCCAGGCCTGCAGGGCTGTGGGAGTCAGGGGTCTGGGACCCGACCTGGGGCGAGCAGGCGCTTTCAATCCAGCCGTGGGTCTCCTGGGAGCCGGCTGGGGTGAAAAACAGAGCCTGGCAGAGACGGGCACCCCCATCCCTGTCTCCCTTCTCCGAGTGGGGGGCAGGCACTCCAGACAGGTAGGGCTGGGACATGAGAACACACCCCGCTCCAGCTCAGCTGTCACTGCCCTGTGGCCTTGGACAGGGTAGAGCAGTGGCTGTGTAAGGGCTGCATGTCCCCAACCAGAGGTCCCCTCACCCTGCCAGCTCCCACCCCAAGCCGCAGGGGCCAGGAGAGCACAAGGACCTTGTCCCGCTGCTTGGACCCACCGGGCTCCTGGCAGTGCTCGGAGGCGGGTGAGGGGGGAGCTGGGGGGTGCCCCGGGGGAGGAGAGTCAGCAGGTGCCAGCCTAGGGCCTCCAGCTAACACCCTGGGCTTAGCTGTGACAGGCACCCAGGCCAGGCTGGCTGGGTCACGGGCAGCGGGCGGATTGCAAGGGCGTAAGCGTTCACAGGCCAGAGGGACAGCACCGCCAGCTGCTGCCCTCCCTGCAGAACCCTCCTGGCCCCGAGCAGACCCACCCTGTCTGGAACCTTCCATTCTCACGGACGGGAGACAGGTAAGGACAACACACCCCGGGCACAGGGCGCCCCGGGAGGGGACCACCTCGCCCAGCCGCCTGGTGACCTGTGCTGTTCCGGCAGCCCCAGCACAGCCCCCGTCCCTCCCTCCCTCCTCGGACACACACGGGAGTGAAGACACGGAGCCAGAGCCCGGACGCCGGCCTGAGGCCCCGGGCAGGCTGGGCCGAGGCGGCCCCCGAGCCCGCTGCGGGGCGGACGCGGTGGCTGGCGGTCAAGGCCCAGAAGCTGTGCGCTTCCCTTCTGCCCGGCCCTGGCCCAGCTCGGCCTGGGCCGCAGGCCATCTGTTGGCCCTGGACATGGGGTGGGCAGGGGTGGCCCCCGCAGGACGCCCCGTGTACCTCCTGAAAGCAAGCCTGTCCCTCCTGGTCAGAGCCAAAGCGTGCTGGGCGGGGTGGGGGCGGGGGCGGCAGGCGAGGGGCTGAGCTCCCTGGCCCTGGAGGCGTGTAAGCCAGACTCTCCACGTGCAACTGCGAACCTCTCCGCCCCCAAACCCCGACCTCCTCTCTCAGCTCAATACTGGGAGGAAGGGGCAGCCCGGGGTGCGGTCTGGACCTGCCCCCCACCCTGGCGGCCCTCCTGCACTCCCCACTGGGCTGGGCAGCACCAGCCTGGTCCCCCTTCCCACTGGGCCCGCCCCTCGCACTGCGGCCGCTCCCGATGGCCGCTCCCCACACGGCAGGGCCCTTCCTCCTTTCTACGCTGTCCAGTCCCTTCGCTGCATTCGGACAGCTGCCCACACTCCCCCGAAGTCTCCCTCCCCTTAGCTCTGACACGTCCTCTCCTGGGGACCTCAGGATTTTTGAGGGGGAGAAGAGAGGGCTGTCGTTTCACAGCAGCTTTGCCCTCCCGCCCCCAAATCCCAAGCTCCCCAGCGCCAGACGGCCCCACCCTCTCCCCAGGTGGAAGCCCGCCTGGCTCTAACCTCCCGCAGCAGCTGCGTCCTGCCCGTCTACCCCCTGCAGGCTTGGACCTCCTGCCGCCAGCCCAGGCTTCGCACCGACCCCCATCTGCCGTAAGGCTCACACCCTCCTGCCACCTGCTGACACAGACACAGCTCCCAGCCCTCCTGTCTTGGGGCACACGGCAGCCACCCCACCAATGCAGCGAGGTCACCCCAATGCTTTAGCCCAAGACCCCCACCCCGAGAGTGGTAACCGCCTCCAAGGCTGGACACAGACTTCGCGTGTCCAGGCCCCCAGGGCAGCCCCCTCACGAGGAGAGGGCAGAGGGAAGATGGCGCCACGCCAAGCCCATCTCTCCAGAAGCTTCCGTAGCTCACACCGGGGTGTGCAGACTGCCTGCTCGGCCCCCACTACAGCCACATCCCAGCTGCTCTGCCCCAACCGAGCCGACCCGGCTGCCGGACAATCCTCTGATTCAGGGGAGACAATGAGCCCGCACGGCCGCCCTGACCTGAGCTGCGTCAGGGACAGACTGTTCCGGCACCGGCCCAGACGCACTGAGGGCGGGCCGGGTCTGGGACGGCGGGAAGGGGCCTCCTTCCTACCCCTCCTCTCTACTCCATTCTGGACCCTACAGCAGGCCTGGACCACTGACTGGGGGTGCAGACCTGCTCCCCAGCAGTAGACCCTTCTCCAGACAACCGCTCCTGCCCTTGGACCCCGCCCAGCGGGCAGCCGGACCCTCCCCCACGTCCACTGGCCGGCTGGGGGGGAGCACGGGACAAACCGCAGGTTCCCTGGGCACCGCCCACTGCCCAGTCTGTGTCCTGGCAGCCCGAGCTTATGGCTCCCAACAGTCCAGCCGCAGAGCTACAGGTGAGCACAGAGTCCCTCCAGGAGGGTGGCCTCATACTCCTGGGAGAGGACATTTCAACCCCCATCCACCCTCATTAACGCATCAACAGCAGCCATAACCCGCCACCCTCAGCTCCCAGCCCCTTCCCTGCCCCTCACGACCACCCGAGCCCCTCCACCCTTTCAGCCAAATGACATTGTCACCAAGGAGCCCCTCTGCCGCTGCGGAGCCTCTTCACGCCGAAACCCAAAGCCGAGGGGCGCCGGCTGCAGACGGGACGGGTCCGCCCCCCAGGCTTTGAGGGATTCCCGCTCCCAGCAGGCGACAGGCGACAAGCGACAAGCGCCGGACTGCCCGGGGCTGCGTCGCTGGCGGCAGAACAAAGGCCGGAGGCCCTGGGCCTGACCACTGCTGCCACCTCCCAGGGCCCAGGCGGCCGCGGTGCGGGTCACGGATCGCTGCCGGCCGGGGCCGCGGGGCCGCAGGCGGCAGA